CTTTATTTATTTATCAGCACAAATACAACAACATACATACATACATACATACATACATACATACATACATACATACATTCATTCATTCACATTTCATTCTGTCCCTTCTTTTTCATCCCTTTAATTATTCTATTCCACCATTTCTTTGATATTAGGGTAACTCTTGCAGCAAGTTGCCTGTGGCAAGTTGGCTATGATGAGTTGGCCACAGTGAATTGTCATACACCCTGCTGGAAATGGCTGGAGAGAGGAAAAGGGGGAAAAGGAGAAAGAAAGAAGAGGAAAATCAGAAGTCGGAGAGCATATTTCACCAAGAATTATGGCAAAGAAAGGAGGAGAAACCACTTTTGTGGAATCCAGAGGGCTGGAAAACAACTGGCAAAAAAATGATGCAGACATATCGGTAATATAGGGTTTCCTGCTTGAGCAGGGAGTTAAGACTAGAAGACCTCCAAGGCCCTTCCAACTTTGTCATTCTGTTATGCACTCAAAGGAAAATTTCCACTGGCAAAAGAGTGATGTCTGAGATAGAGGAATAGAGTCATCTCAACAGGAGAAGATGAGTGATAGCTGTAACTTTTGAGAGAAACTGGGCCCACACCCAGCTGCTTCCTGAGAGAAGTAAAACAAGTATTTCTGGGGAAATAAAGAAGAAACAGGGCGGGAGGAAGAGAGATAAGATAGAGTAAAAGTAATAGAAACCTCGGAGTTACACTGTAAAGCGAAACAAGTCAAGAAAGTCTTAACAGTAAATCAATGAGGAATAAGAACAGGATGGGTGAAATGCACTTACAGTCTGAGTGGAGAAAGTTTGAAGGTTAAAAGTGGATGTGTAATCATAAGAAATCAAAAGTATAAAGGGGTTTGAACTGAAATAAGAAAATATTCTTTTTAGTATGTGAATATCTGATATATTTATATATAATTGTGTAGAATTAACTTTTTTGCACTAAAAATCTAATATCCTGACTGAGTGCCACCATAAATTATAAAAGAACCTAACAATTGAATCTGCAGCAAAGGGTACAAAACAGGGGTCTCCAAACTTGCCAATTTTAAGGCTTGTGGACTTTCTGGTTGGGCAATTCTGATAGGTGAAGTTCACAAGTTTACTCATGTGCACAGCTGTCATCCTGACTTCTTTTTAACACCTCCTCCATCTCCTCCTTTCCCAGAACCTAAATCATTACTCCATATTGGGAAGATATCAGATATCATGATCTTGTTCTTATCACTCTTGTTTTACCTGACTTTTCACAATGCTGTCCATGCCAACCAGATGAACAGATACAGCCGCTGAATCGATTGCAGGTCCCTCCGTTCTGGCAGTTACACTCTAAGATACAGTCAGGACCATATTTGTCAGGAGAACAAGCTGTGGGAAGAACAGAGGGATTAGGGCCTCAACAATTCTATCCATTCTAAAGACCGAGTTTATTGGTCACAGATAATGTGACAAATTACATTTGTTTTAGTTAGAGCCTTTATTAATCTTTCTCCTTCCTGTTGGATATAAAGATACATGAGTGTATTTTACATGTAGTTTATCTAGTTCTTTAATTGATACCATACAATCAGAAAGAAGGATTTACAATAGGCTTCTTCCCTTCCTATACTATAACATAATTTTTGGAAGGACACTTTTAATTTCCTACCCGGAATTTTTCCATACAATTTTCCTTACTGCAGAACACAACGAGAAGTGGCTTTTTCTGATTTTAAACTATTACAGAAGCCTTTCAATATGTAAGTGTTGCTTGGAAGAAGAAAGAGTCAACTTTATCAATATAGAATTCCTAAACTATTGCTTTCTACTCCCTGTGAAACTGAAACGTTCAAGGAAAATCCTTGTCAATTCCTTTTATAGTATATGGAGAAGTTGCCAATGTCTCCTTTTCACAACTGAGGAAGAAGAAGGATTATTTTTTAAAAATAGCAATTTTTAAAGGTATATGCTATCACATACTATCTTAAAAATAAAATTGAAACATATTTCATTAGCCTGATTTTTAAAATATATCTTTCTTGAATTTCCAAAACTAATATAATACATAAATAAATAAATAAAAATTAGAAAAAAAGAAAAGCAAGAAAAAGAAGAATTAAAAGTGTAAAGGAAAAGCAAAAATATAAAGAAAAGTCATATAAAAAAGAACAACTTCCAATTTTCTTCAATATAGAAATATACAAATATATAATAAAGTCACATCTTATCCTAAGTTTAAACATTACCATGGTCTTGTTACTTCATCAAAGATAGTTTATGTGACTATGGAGGATAGTGAAGGAAATTGTGACTTGTCAAGGTCAGTATCTGTCACTATTTAAATATAGTCACAAATTGGTACATGTCAACCAGGGGTGGGTTTCAAAAATTGTTCGAACCACCTCTGTGGGCGTGGCCTCCTTTGTGGGAGTGGCTTGCCGCCCATGTGACCGGATGGGAGTGGCTTGCCGCCCATGTGACCGGATGGGAGTGGCCTGCCACCCATGTGACCTNTCGTGGTTTTCTTTCCTAATTATTCAATGGAGGAGTGCTGACACTAACAGTATAGTGGAAAGCTACATCACCTCCCATGATGTGGCTCTTAGACATCCTCAAGTATGCTGCTAAAATCTGGCAAAAAAAAATCTTCAACTTGACCAGCATGAGGCTTATGTTCCTTAAGGTAATGTAGGTGTGCACTCTCTCTCATTACTTAATGTATCTATTTTGAAGCTAAAGAATCCCCAAGTCTTTCAAGAAGTGTGTGTGTGTGTGTGTGTGTGTGTGTGTGTGTGTGTGTGTGTGTGTGTATGCATGCACGCACGCATGCATGCATATAATATGTTATATAATATATAACAATAGATATGTGTTATTTTATACATTTTAACCCACTTTTTCTTCTTTCAAATCCTAAAGCGAGGGCACCATCATTGTCAAACCCTCAATATTTGATATTGTATAGCCCAATAGTGTTCTCTGGATCTTGTGGTAATTGAACACATGCTGAGATTCCTTAATAAATGGCATTCAGCTTTTATCTCTCTCAACCTTACCCCCACCTTGGCCTCTTTCATGTTATGCTATTTATCCAGTGGTTCATCTTGTGAAAACTGGAGTGCTTCATTATCTTTCCACCAAAGGTCCTTCTGCAGAAACTATCTAGTCATCAGATAATTTCTTGTTGATTGGCTATAGCCAAGACATCAAAAATAGCAGGCAGGCAGGCAGGGAGAAATCATGAGGCCTGTGTGACTTCTTTCTCCACAGAGTTCTGCATATGTAATAAAACCAAGAGATAATTCCAGAACATGTGTAACCAAGATAGGTAACTTGGCTGTTATGATTGCATGTGGAATTCCATTGGTATGATTGTTGCTTTAGAAACTTAGAGAGGCTTTTATGATTCAGATCAGTCCTTTGAGGTAGGCCAGGTCACGAAACATACACTGCAGAAATTTTTAAAATGTTAATTTATTTTGAGGGTATATAACAAACTCTTGACAGCTGCCAAGATTTCTGTCATCTTATATTAAATAAAATCAAAGCAGAGTTATTTTGAGTTTCTTTCTCATGGTTGCTTGAATCTCTGCAGTCTGTCATCTTTTCACAAATCCAATCTTAATAATTCTTTGATACCTTCTTCAAGGTCATACTTAAATTCTTTTACAAGAGGGACATAAAATATGCTGCAGTTTTCCAGAATATATATATATTCCTAAATTAATGAAACGTCTACGTTGGTGGTTGAGTGTCTAACTTTGGTGTTCCAGAAGAAGATCCATTCTACAATAGATCACAGCCTTTCTACCCTTCTACACTGTGATCTTCCAAAGTCATGGCCCTGAGAGTGAATATGGTGGCCGAGAGAATGAAAATGTTCAATGTTGTCAAGAAAAAGAGATTTTTTTTCACCACTTAATCTTTTTTGATTAACATTCTGAAAGGACATTCTGCAACCATTGAGAAAGCTCTATGGAGATTGGAAATGCAAGCTCTTGCATACAAGAAAAATACTGAATATGACTTCAATCAGAGGTTGACTCTGGATCTGAAAGGCTTATCATTTTATGATAATATTTGTTTTCCATGAATTGTGGTTCTGAGAGGTGTTGCCTAAAACCTCTAAAGGCTTTTTCATGGGCTATGAAGAATGCACTGTCTTTCTCTTAGGTGACGATGATCTCCCACTGACCAAGTAGCTAAGTAGAACATATAGCAATTTTGGCAGTCTTGCCCTTATTCTCCCCAACATTTTCACATTTAACTGGATGTTTCAAGGGGCATTCAGACTCTCCTGATTAAGACTTGCGTCTGTGCAGTGCAGTACTCTAATAAAACAAGCTCCCAATTCATATAGAAAGCTATAGTCACATTCAAGCTGCAATAATCTCAGTTTCCTAGCAGATCTTCAACTAGACATTTGGAGGGGAATGTTAGCATGCATGCCTCATTCTCCAGTTGAGTCCTCAGTGCATTAGGCTCAATATTTGAAAAAGGCTTTAAGGATCTACGACCTTCCAGGTTTCACTCTCCACTTCATCAAACAGAATTATGTATTCATAAAGCAGAATATAACACATAGAGCAGAATATAACCTTTCCCAGAATATAACCTTCCCCAAACTCTGCTGTCCAGATGCATTGAAAAACTATTTCAGAATTCCCAGTGTAGGAAGTTAAAGCCCATCCCTCTCCTAGAAAAATGGAATATCCTGGGAAATGTTGAAAAGGCAGAATATATTTCCCTGGATGTGAAAAGGGAGAAACATCTCCTTTCCATCCTCCTCTCCTTACCTCTTTCTTCTTTCCCCCATCTTCCTTTCATTCACTCCTCCTTTCTCCCTTTCTCCCAGCTCCCTTTCTGGGAGTTGAAGTCCACCCACTTTCAAGTCTCCAAGTTGTAGAAACACAGATCTATCTAATTAATATAATTATTTCTCCCTCTCTTTTTCACTCTCTCTCCAG